ATCTAGACCTCTTTAAATGCCCTTTGCCTCTGGAACAAAGTGTTCTTGTGTTAAGGGAGTACTTGAATGGAGGCCCAATGTCCATCTACAATCTTAATTCTTAACATATAGATATGAGTGCTTAATTCTATGTCCCCTCTCATTTTATATATATTTATATATGTACATGCCTGTATTTAGATCTCTATAAATGCCCTTTGCCTCCTGGTTCTTTCCTCTATTTCCTTTTACTTTCCTCTTGTCCCACCATCATGTTTAGCCTTCATACGGGTTAAGTAATTCCTCCTTGTTACATTGCCCTTGATTAACCCCTACTAGATGTCCTATGACCTTCCTTCCATTGATCACAGTTCACTTGTTGTTCCCTTGTCCCTGGGTTGGTTCTCCCCCTCTCCCTTCCTTTCTCCCACATCCCCCAGAACCATTGGTCCCGTTCTTTTCATCTCTGAATATTTATCCCACCTATCTTATCTAGATAGAGTAACTCTTTACAGAGGTAGAAAACCTCATCTTTATCCCTCGGAGCAGCTGGTGGTTTTAAATTGCTGACCTTGCATTTATCAGCCCATCTCATAACCACTACACCAACACAGCTCCTCAATACAAGTTATAGTAAGTATTAATTTGTGAATAGTTGCATTTAAAAATTTTTTTTAATTATTTTTTTTCTTTTAGTTGGCTGTCCGGAATTATTCATATTTATAGTCCTCACACATGGGCTTGCTGTTTGCGGTATATATTCAATTCTTCTTTTCAAGAAAGGCAAGTAATATTTTACCCTGTAGTAGTGTATTTTGACCTTTTGGGCCTGATCATATTTTATTGGTCTCATTTAAAATGCATGCAATGCCATAACCTTTTGTAATACTTACACACCAGATGAATAAGCTCATTAAGAAAAGTATCTTTTATCCAGCAAAACTACACAATTAGGATGAGGTAATTCCATACCTGAAAATAAGAAATTCACTTGACTAACCATCGAGTTCTAATACAGAAGATAAGCTTTTTAGAGGTGGAAAAGCTGATCATATGCTCTATGTCTTGCCTAGAGCTGCTGCAACACAAATGCCACATGTGGTGTCTTTAACGAACAGAGACTGAACTTCTGGACGTTCTCATCAGGGCTTTGTTAATGCCTTCCTAACTGTAGCCGTGGACCTCCTTGGTTTCTTGGCGATTCTCAAATGACATCGATGTTTACCTAACCAGTGATACCTCAGTTGTCGAACTCAATTCGTTCCAAATTCATGTTCAAACACTTAATGCATTTTTCCCCATAAGAAAACCAAATAATTGGTTCTGAGGCCTCTAAATTGTGCTTATAAATTAATTTTTCTGGGACTTTAACACAAACAGCCCTAGGTTGTGCAAATACCTTTTAAACATCTGAATGCAATAAATCAGTACATTAAATATCAAAACACAATATAGTAAGTAAAATGAACTTATTTTTATTATGTCTTATTTTAAAGCCAGGAATTTGCAACATGGTACACTAACATGGGCTTCACTTTAAAATCCCCATTAGCAGTCCTACACAAAAACAGTGAGCCTATCTTTCATAGGCTTGTGGCCTGGCAATGCCTTTTCCTCTTTAGTAATGAAGGTCCTTTTGGATATTTTTTCCCAAATAAGTCCAGTTTCATTGTAGTTGAACACTTGCTGGGGAACGAAACCCTCAAGCTTCCACCTATTCAGCAAATTCAGTCACAAATTCCTCAGCTTCGTCCTGTTGGTGCTTGGCCCCGCCCGGGCCTCCCTACACTGTGTGAGTGTGTCGCACCAGCCATGGCTGGCTTGGAACACTTGGTGCTGCTCAGCACTCATGCCCGCAACGGTTTTCATGAAATCACTATGGAGGTGTTTGGCCTCCTTGCTTATCACTGTCTTTGTGTGCTCTCGCCATTGAGTTGGGTCTGATTTATCCAAATTCACAGTAACTTTTCAAATTCTTTGATGGTCTGGGTTCTTTGTTTCGTTGTTAACAATTGCACTCCTTTCGGCAACATTGGCCACTTTAATTATGCTTTTTTTCCCTAAAAAACTTCTGATAATGTTGACTTAGCCATGTTGTATTCAGCTGCCAAATCAGACAAGCAACCAATGATTCAAAGTTCGCAATTATTTCTTTAACTCCATTGTGGTTCTCACTTTCTCTCAGCTGTACTGCTTGTATCACTAACTTGATATTTACACAAAGTACAAAAGAAAGCACAATGACAAGTGTTTTAATGCACTAACACACGTACTACATGTTGTCTGAGAGCGCGGCACTCGAGTTGTGGAAAGTTCGAGCTTGGGGCCGTTGGGCAACGGAGGTATCACTGTATGAAAGTGCTTCTGTGTCTAATCTCTATTCTTTTAAAAATTCAGAAGTAAGAAGATTCGCTATTCTCTGGTTTTAACTAATTAACATAGCAAAACCCTGTTTCCAAACAGGATCACATCACCGGTATAGGGGTTTGGATTCCAACACATACTTTGCACGCTATTTTATAAATAAGCTCATTTTCAAGGAAAACTGCAATTGAGTTTAAATTTGTTACCGTACAAATCTTATATCAAGTTATGCAATCCGCTACTAGTACACAAAGAAACACCCTTGTCTCCATGGAGCATGCTGGCTGCCCTTCTTCCAAGACAGGTCTTAGCTGTAGTGGACTTTAAAAAAACGTTTTTACTGGAAAGACATGTGCATGATAATAAATCAGACATACACAGTGATACACAATAAAAATAAATTTCCCCTTGATGTGATTGAACTGTTTAACTGTAGTCTATGTGAATTATATGCCAATAAAACGATTGAAATAAATAAATAAATAAAATTTCCTTTGCTCAATTTCTTGTTGGAATATTCATTGCAACAGAAATAATGCCCTCCTTTAGCTTTTCCCTAAAAAGGGTGCATACTGTTCTTTTCTGTATGCTGCTATCTTTTTCTCTATAGCAATATATCTTGGAAATTATTGTACAGATACTTTGCACATTTTTAATAACTACAGGACACAGTATATGCTATATTTTTTCAAACATGCTTTTGCTCTTATAGACAGTGCTAGACTGACTATTTTGTATCTAGCTTTGTGTGCACCTGCTAGTACATTTGTAGGATAAATTTCTAAATGTTTCTTCTAGGTTAATTGAAAATGATGGTAGATAATGTCAAGTTACCCTCCAAAGAGATGCCTTTCACCTTTGAGTTCGTTCAGACTCATCACAGCCCAATGGGGCAGAGCGGATGGGTCCCATCGGCTCTCTAAGACTGCTTTCTTAGTGGAGGCCGACTGCCACCTCTTTCCCCTGCACAGTGGCTGCTGGGGTCTAGTGACGTTACTGTGATTAGCAGCTGAGTGTTTCTTGCAAAAAGACTGTACAGCTTTATAATTATTACCTTAGTAAATGTGCATACATTTTTCTCCCCACTCTTTCACTAGCATTTGTTCATTCATTCAACAAGTACTAGCTGAGCACCTTTGTGTTTCTTAACTTGTCCAGCATTCCACCTCCCTACCTCCAATGCTTTTATCTTATTGGTGCTATAACATCTCCCCGGGTTATTTTTCACTCAGCAGTTCATTTCCCTGTATATTTTTAAGGACTTTGATGACTTCATAATTATCTATTTTTGTAAGTTTATGTAAATCAATGGTGACACATAAAGTATATGATTGGGTATTTCCTAAAATAATAAGGAGATTTTTAAAACAGTGATGTGGAAAGAGAGCTGAGATGTATTTTCAAATGATAAATAGCAAGGTACATAGTGAATATAATATAACCCTATTTTGTTAAGTTACATAACTTAAGAATAAATTCTGGAAGTGTGTATGCTAAACTGGAACATGGGCGGCAGTGGTTTTTATCTTCTACTTTATGTATTGCTATTTTCAAAGCTTTTATGAGGAGTATGCATTCTATAATAAACATGTGTTTAAAGAATAAAAATGAGTGACATTAGAAAGTAAGCATAAGTCTGCTTCCCAGTTTCCTTTCAAAGATTGGGAGAGTCACATGGAATTCTGTGGGTGTACTCTTGCTATCCTCAGGAAATGTTAATGAAGTGGATGTTTTTGTTCAGGGTGTTTTCAGAATCTGGAAGCTTCATCATAGTTCTCTATTCTATGACACATAAGGATCCTGAGTTTTATGAATGCCTCCCTTGTGGCGGTGGGATTACTGACCTTCAGTTTCAGTTGCTAACCAGCAAGGAAGCATTACAGCTTTTCAAAGTAAGTGGCTTGATTCCTTAGTACATTCATGAGACTGGGAGTTGTGCTTTGCCAGATAAGACGCACCGGTCTTCACCGTTTCATATTCTGATTCAGCACTTTGACTTTGTGTGCTTATGATCATCTTTATTTTAAATCGTGTAACAGTATTAATTGCACCATTGCTCCATCAGCACAGTAAAGTCACACAATGAGGAGTATATTGGCCATTTTAACTGGTTGGCAGGGGCTCTTCCACTCAAGGCGCCCTTGGTTTCCACTGGATCATTTTTCTCGCCAGACTTAGTTCCTCGGCAGCCTGCAGAATCCCTTCCTCGATTCTCCCTCCCTGAATGTGGTCTTTTAATTTTTTACCATCAGATTCTGTTTCAACCATAGTTAGCTTCTCCTTTGTAATCTCTTTTGTGTCCTTTAATAGGTTGTAGTTTTAGGATTTGCTCAAGAACATCAAAGATCTTTGTGCATAATATTCCTCGTCTCTCGTGGGGACTGTCACATGCTACCAATCCCTCCAGGCCCATGGTCTTCTTCAGCAACCTATAATCTTGATTAGTTGTTAATTTTGTTTAGTAACTCTTACCATATCTCCAGAACCAAATTACAAGAAGGAATCCAAGATTATCTACAAAATAACATGCTTGTGTGTATCTAAAACCTTTAGTGAATGCATGAATAACGTTTTCTGATGTCGATGGTTAAATTTATGATGTTTTTGTGCTTT